TTTATAAAAAATTATATTATTAAACAAAATATAAATTACTTCGTTTTTATACATAAATTAAATTATAAAAGAAAATTGAACTAAAAAAATTACACAAAAAATGAAGAATTTCAAATATTTAATTTGATACTAATATCGATATATTTTTGTCAAATTTTATGATATCTTAAAACATATATTTTATTTAAAAATAAAAAAATCATTGCTTTCTCAAAATCACATAAAATCATATTATAACATCGATTGAGATTTTTCAACCAACCATTTTGTTTCCTATTTGGAAACAAATTTGAGTTTGAATTGATGATCTTATCCTCCTTTGTTGAATGATGGACAGAGAGAACGTGGTGGATATTTTACATGAGACCTGAGCTATGTATTATTATGATTATTTCCATATAAATTGTATGTATTTGGGGGTGTTTGAGATTGTTTATAAAAACAACTCATAGACTTATTCTGGTATGACACTAATAATAAGTCCTTTTAAGTGTTTGGATAAACAACTTATACTAGTATCAAACCGGTAATAAGGAGTTTTTGAAGAAGTTAAATTCTTTTAACTTATAATAAGTTGATAAGTACTTTTATAGAAAAAAAATAAGTTATTTCAAATAAGCAATCCCAAACACCTCCTTTTTCAAAATTAGGTTTGCAAGGATATATTTCTAAAATTAATTTATATACAGATTATAATACTTAAGTTAACCTGTACCATATCAATATCTCCACCATCATCCGATAGTTTGAAGCTAAAAAACCGCATCATTTCGTTTCATGTCGTTCATTTTATGGCTTATTATTATTAAAGTTTAGGAGTATTTAGGATTGCCTATTAGTGCTTATTAACTTATTTCGATGTAATATCAATAATAAGAAGTTTTATAATAAGAAGTTTTTAGTGTTTGGATAGAAAAAAAAATCTTATATCGGTTTGGCACCGATAATAAGAAGTTTTTGATAAGTTATTCCATTATAATTTATTAACTTGTTTCACTATGATACTGGTAATAAAGAAATAGCTATCAGATCATTACGTTTTGATATTGTTATAAATTAATCTAAACATTTTTTATAAAACTGCGATTTATAAGTCGATGCATGGCCCACGATTAAATAGGCTCGTTTTGTCAAACTTATTGAATTAAATGGAAGCCGGGTCCTTATATTTTGTGTGGTTGCATTCCTGTCTATAATCATAGCAATTCAATCAATTTCCAAGATATGGATTGCTTGTATTCGAGAAAGATGTATAAATGTGATTTGAAGTTGTAAGAATAATATAACATATGTAATTAATGTTCAAAATATAAATATATGATATGATATGATATGACTCGTGTCGGTCTCGTTAATCTATACTATCTTATAAAGCATTTGGCTAAAACTCTTAAAAACTCTTAAACCGGTTCATCCTAAACGATTTCATTCATATCCGATTTTATTCCATATCTGAATTCGTATAACTAACTGTAGATAAACACAACCAAATACAGGATAAACATTTCATTTTGAATATAAAAAATATAAAATATAATTCGTTTAATCATTAAATTCTAACAGAATACTTAATTATTATCTTTATAAAATTTATAATATTAAACCAAAAATAAATTGTTTTATTAGTAAACTTAAATTAAATTATATAAAATATATATTATATATTATAAATCATTTGACAAAAACTCTTAAAAACCACTTTTTATGCGTAAAGTACTGTTTATTAAT